CCCCCCTCTCTGACGCCTCGACTCACTGCCTCTGCAAGCCTTTTCGCCTTTTCAAACGCACTGCCATGACGGGCGCGCGTCAGCGATAATGAACATGGGTTAGTACCCTTTTGGGGGACCAATCCTGGATCAGCCGCAACGTTTACTCTTGAGTGGGACGGCATGTCCTCCTGCTATTTTGGCCGGAGTGACAAAACTTCGTTACGTACTTTTATCGTTGACAAATGAACTGTGGACGCGGGCTTCGTCTATCCTGTCTTTGTTTGCTTACCCTCTCGCCTGGGCCTGTGTTTAATGCCGAATCTTCTGCTTGGCGTGTGGAGTCCGCCAGTCCCCCCTCCCCGTCCCCCTTGTTGGAGCAGGGTTCCTGGCACCCCTAACACCACCACTCATCTCATCTTTGTTTTTCTTGTTTTCCCCTCTCTTTTTTTCTCCCCGGTAGCACCTTTCTTTGCTCATCTCAATCCGAGCTCTTGCTTGGTTTTAGCTCGTGCGCTCGGCCTCGCCTTTGTGGCTTTTGTAATGACGGATTATTTGTTGCCTGCGAAGGAGGGAAGGCGAGAGGTTTGAAGGTTTCCTGCAAATACAGAATATGAGGGGGGCGTCTACGTAATTAGAAGATCTTTCAAATCCTAATCGGTGTTCCCATTGCAATTGTCAAAGTGCAAAGTTGATGGATTACATTGTTAGATAAATTATCCTAATGAGTTGAAGTACCTCTTATGATCTTAGGCTCAACGAGACAAAATTTATTGAGATACTCTCTAGACTATAGTTCTATTGGCCTTTGTAGTATCACATTGAGCTTAGAGACCGCGTTAGACTTTATTCGAAAATCGTGATAAGTAAGAGCTCCTGCTAAGTATTTTTATTTTTTTAAATGCATAAGAGGCAGTTGTTATGTAGCCGTCGCGCAGAGCTCGTAGTGCAAGTGCATTTGCTTACATTATTGGGTCGTCTTCAGATACAATGAGCTTCGATACCTCAATAATTTCTATCTCGTCCCACAAGATCAAGGAGGAAACGCGATTGCAATCGCACTGTGCGATGGCTACTTTTACAACTACTACCTCGTATACAATTATTTAAAAAAATAGTAGCCTAAATCTCTCACTTATCAATTACGACCTTGAATCAATTCCGAAGCAGGAGGGGCCCGCGCGAGAAAACTTTCTGACGAACAACACAATTGAGCAGCAGGGAAGACCAGACAGGCTGGGCCGGCTGGGGCGTAGCGAAAAGAAGACGGGCGCGGGCGCAGCTCTTGTTGCGGGCTGGTTGCGGGATTTAGTGATTTATGACTTCCAGTCGGCAGAATTTCCTTCATTTTCGATATTGCGAAAGTTAAAATCGAGGCGGCGAGTGGGAGTGAGAGAAGAAGGGAGCGAAGAGCGAGAGGGAAATCGTGAATGAGAGCGGGGGAGCAAAAGAGAGAGAGAGCGAGTAGTGCGAAGAGGCTCAGCAGGCAATCCTTGATGTATGGCCAACCTGAAGTAATTAGGTGGTGTAGAGTGTCCACGGAGATTAGCGGGCTGATTACTCGCTCTACCTTGACGCGTCAGACACACGGCGAGAAAGAGGTGGGGGGGGGGGGCGGCAGAGAGGCAGTGAAGCAGGCTGCGGAAAATGAAAGGGGGAGTAACTGAGGTAGCAAGCGGGCCGACGATAAAGGGTTGATGGTAGTTCCAATCCGGGTATTGAGATGTGCCCAGAAGCCTTCCTGTGACGGTAGACGGTAGATAGACATACAGGGCCCACAGACTTCGAAGAATCATTCAGTTGGCTTATACCGCATTCAAGCATGTGGACAAGTTGCCTACTTGCAAGGGGCATCAAGGGATGGCCAGCCGAGACACAAGCCCACCTGCACGGTTGCATGCGGTACAGTAACACTAAAATATTCTCCGGGGTCTTGTGGACCGACCTCTATAGCCCTATGAAAAGTCGAAAAAATCTTCCATTGCCGCAAGGAAAAGCCCTTTTCGTTGTGTTACTATTGAAACGTGTACTCCCTGTCGAGTTCATGTGACAACAAAGAAACGGAAGAACTATTTAATTGTCATCTCCCATCTTTCCCGATCGGTCACAAACATTGACCTCACACTGCTTTTTCTCCTCTGATTTTTAAGGCTTTTTCGCTAGAATAGAAGCGGGCTTCTTGGGTTATGGGCGAGGGGGAGGCATGGCTGAAGCGTGGCGGAGCCGAGCGAGGGCTCCATCTTAAAGTGAGCCTCACATAATCCTCATTGGACGCTGGAATATGCCGTTCCCGTCGGCCCCGCCCCGCGACGTGCTGCTCCAAAAGCAGCTCCAAGAGCAGCTCAGGCTCCCAGGGATGATGTAGGAGGAGCGCAGCCTGTGATCGCTTTTAGTCTCAACCTGAAATTAGACCCTCGCTCACGTAAACAGTTTGACAGTGTTTCCCCAACCCTCATTTTTTTTTTTCGGCCTTCCTTGCTTTCTCCCTGGTTCAGCAAGCGGGACGATTCGTGGACCTCACTTTTTTTAGCTGCTGGCGCAACGGAAGAGGCCTTCCTGTATTTTCGTTTTCCTGTTATTTTGCTGGGTACTGGACCACTTCCTCCCTAAGCCTACCTTCCCTCTTCCGTCTCTCTCTCTCTCTCCTCCTCTCTCTCCCTATCCCTCTCCCCGGCAGTCCTTCTGGGACGGGGACGGGCGACGCAAGGTGAATGGGATTGGACTTATCTGCTTTCAACACCTGCTGCTCTCACTTTTCACCCCTCCTCTCCTCCCTCGGTCTCCTCTGCCCCCTCCTGAGCCCTTTTCAATTACCTGCTCTGTTCGTTGAGCCCTTCCGAGTGGCCATTGCGCCCTCTCACACCTGTGCAACGTTGTGACGCACCCACTGACGCAAACTAACGTCTGACGCCAAACCTTTGAATTTTGGTATGCCTGTCCTCTTGGCAATTTTCTTCCGAAATATGCACATTTTGACCCTTATACTGCTTTTTAGTTTATGATAACTCTGGAAACAAGTGTGTACTTGAATACAGGAGGTCCTGTGTCCTTACATGTATCCAGAAGGTCCCGTGTACTTGGCAAGTATGCAGGAGATAAGATAGTGTGTACTTTGGTCAAGTATGCAGGAGGAAGTGTGTACTTGGCCAAGTACTAAATCTCCTGCAGAAATGCATGGAGGTTTTAGTGTCTGCTTGATCAAGTACACACTACCTCCTGCATACTTGCCAAGTACACAGGACCTCCTGCATACATGTAAGTACACAGGACCTCCTGCATTTAAGTACAGACTTGTGTTTCCAAAGAACATTTTTTCTGAGGAAAAAACATAAACTTGTATTTTTGAGAGAACAACAAACAACCACAACGTCGCACCAGAAACCTTCTTTTCCGCCCCCACAGATGGCGCTCGAGATAGCCAGTTTCATTTTCCATGACCCCTTCCCCGCTCCCTCTGGTTGCTCCCTCCCATTCCTCTCCTCAGGGGTTCTTGAGCGGTGGCAGAGGCAAATTTTCTTTTTTGGCCGGCATCTAGGTGGCGGCTCAGACTGGACTGGTGAAGATGAAGGCGCGTCCCCTGTGCCCCCCCCCCTCTCTCTCTCCCACCCTCCACTCCACCCATTCCTAAAGCAGGCAGGGAGCAGATCCGTCGTAGTGGTAACCCCACCGGGATCGAGGTGATAGGAAAATGGATAATCCCTTGGCGGAACGAGCGAACGCGAATCCGTGACGGGCGTGGCGTAGCGTGGCGGGGATCACTCTTTGGGGGAGGGGCGATCCAGGACTGCTGCTGAACGATGCGGGGCGTGGCGGGGCGTGGCGGGGCGTGGCGGGGCGTGGCGGGGGTCGCTGAGATGCGGTGGCCGCGTCCTCTGCCGGCCAGGACTTAAACGGCGAGGGTCGCAACGTGGTCGGTCAGTGGTCGGAGAGGGGGCAAAGGGTCCGAGGGAGGAGTGGAGGGTAGGGGTCGCAGAGGGGTCATT